AAATTAAACAGTTTCTCCAAATGCTGAAGCAATTTTTGAGCCTCAGCAGATTCCCTGAGCATTCACCACCGCGAGCTCCTGGTTCCCAGCATTTCATTTTCCTCGAGCCCAGGCTCCAGCAGACCCCTTACCTCTCGTGCTACTCTGTGGAGGGACTCTGAGGTCTGACAACTTTTTTGCAGTGCTCAGAAGCTGCTGAGCCCCTCTGTGGCACTGCCTGCTTCCCTGACCCGGCCAGGGGGAAGCCCTGAGACCAGGCAGCGGTGGGGAGGCGGCAGCCAGCGCAGCAGAGGGCTGGGCAGCCGGAGGGAGGGAGCTGGAGACAGAGCTCATCAAAGGTGGGAGGCCTGGTGGGGATCATGGAGAGACAGATACACATCTAAATAATTCAGGCACTAATAAAAGCTTTAGGTTGGGCTCTGTTCAAGACGTGAAATGAAGCTGAATTTGGATGTATTTCAGGCTTCCATCAATGCAGAACGTGGTGTTACTTAATAACCTGACACTGGAAAACCAACATTATTTTAAAAGTATTCCACATAAAGTTAATGAGGAAAGTGGCTATGGATACGTATATTTGCAACTTTAGGTTGAAATTCTATCATGGGAAGATTTTGAGAGCTTCAAGTCTGACCTCTACAGGTAGGCTGCTGAAATAGGAACAGGATCCTGGGATCGCAAATCGCACACAAAACTCTTACAAATCAGCGAAAGGTAATGGATCAGATGCATGACTTAACATCACACTATCATCAGTGCCTCCCGAAGACATATCTTAAAAACACAACTACTTGTATCATCATCTATGGGAATTTGGCTCCTGCAAATGCTTCTTTTGCAAACTGCATAGGCTCTGCAGCACCACAGGAAAAAGCACATCCAGCACGAATATTTTTACATTCAAAAGTGTAAATGGGTTATGCTCTGCTTTTTATTATCCCTCCCCCTTCCTCATCAATCTTCCACACGATCTACACTTGCAGAGCTACAGAAACAAGCATTACTTTGAAACTGATAACATTCATTTGTGTTTTGCAAAGCTGATGTTTTTAAATGCCCTGATTGGTGCCACCTTTTTCTAATCAGAACCAACCACTCTAACAAACTACCCTTTGTCAGGGGAACCCATCCCCTCTGTTCCCACCAACCTACAGCACATGTTGCTATAGCTACCCTGCATGTCTATTTACCACACAAGTGATCAAAGGGAGCAGACAACACACATACACACACACACAAAAATCCTCACCAGGCTTCCTACCCAGCAAAGTCCAGTCACTAATTAACTGATACACTCCCAGCCTGCAGACTCTGTACACCTGTTTTCTTTATTCTGCATGGCACACACAAAATAAAGGGCAGCATTCTTTAAGATGCTCTTTCTTCCCTTACAGGCCAAACAAACAACAAAACATCCCAGGATGAACTCTTTAAGATAAGGCAAAGGATTACAGAACTTCAGGATAAAAATACAACTTTTCTACAGAAGAACGCATTAGGAATTTTAAAAGGTATGCAAAAGAAAATAGGAAATAAGAAACACATGCTAAAAACTTAAACAGCTGAAAGGAAAGGGGGTGATTTTTGAATTTTGCATATGTTTTGCACCGAAATTGTATACAGCCTTTGTTCACTTGGTGAATTATATGCACACTAAAAGCCATATGACTGCAGACACGATAAGTGATTGTAATGGTTTTATGTATCTTAGAAACACAGTTTTTCATTTTCAGGTGGTCTGTCAGTTAAGAGTTGTTAGGTTGAACCTCTTTATGTGACAAAGGGCTCAAGACTGCCTCGATCAAAGTCAATGGTACTTCAATAGGAAGAGGCCAAAATAAGGAGCTGCATTTTTTGTCAATGACACTCCTGTGAGCTGCACTTCAGGGATATATTGTGGTTGAAAGGGAATGAAAATGAAGTATTAAAATTCATCAAACATTTGATTTTCTGTGAAGTAGTCTTAGGAAACAAAACAGAGCCCACAGTGCCCTCTCCAGTTCTGCGGCAAATTCAGGGAATCCAGCCTCATAACTGTGTCCACCCTCACAAAAACTCCACCTTCATGAAGGCTAAGCACCTCTTTAGGAGCTTCCATCACTGGCAAATTTCCTTACTTTATAAATAACAAACTGAACTCAGTACTCTGCAAAGCAAAAAAAAAAAAGTGTAAAAGTGTTACTTGTGAAAGCTTTTTTCTTGTCTGTTAGTTGCAAAAAAAAAAAAAAAAGAACTATGTAACTATGTAAGATACCTTTAAAATTGCACTTCTGCTTCCTAACATTAGTCTTACAGTACATACAAATGGGTATAAATTAGTATATTTCCTGTGGATGTTTAAACTTTCACTGATACATTGTGATCAGTGTAGTTTCCCACATGGGATAGAAATGTTCCTTTTTTGTTGTTGGACCTTATTTGTCCAACAAATAAGGTTGGTTTGAGGTTATTCTATGAGACAGCAAGAAGACAGCTCTTGCTGAGGTTTTCAGTGATCAGCTACAAATGACTGCTTCTTTATACTCCCTCATTTACAAGTCTCAGCTCAGTATTTACACCAACCCCTGTGACCTGCAGGAGACTATTGGACTGGCACAGTAGTAAAGTAGGTTGAATCTTATCAACAGGCTGCATATTACATTTCTACAGTAATTCCTCCACTTCTATTAGGGGAATTAGTGCATTTTTATTTCTGTGTGCTATTGTTCAGTAGCTGTGGGTTGCCCTTGGGTCAGATCAGTCATCAGCATAGTACATGGTTTCATTCCAACACCTGCAGTACATTGCCATATGCCTGTACCCTTGTTGGTTAGCTCTGCAACACCAAATTGAGCTATAGCTCCTACCAAGAGCCTCTCAAAGTGGGAGCATTCACTCCCAAAGCCTGGAAGAGGAAGGAATTAACCCACTCCCTCCCAGCTGGTGCAAGGATGAGGAAAGGATCGCCAAGGAAGGGCAGAGAAAGCAACAGGACAGGTAGGGAGAGGATTATAAAGTGGAAGAGAAGGTAAGAAAGAGCTCTCTGTTGCTCTGAATAGGAGGGCCATGGAAAAGTCACCCATAACTTTCCCTTAACAATTTCCAACTAGAAGCAGCGATGAGGGCTCCAGCTTCACATGACTCCAGTTTCTAGGTGTCTGCTGTAATGGATTTCCTAAACGCTTTATACAGTTACTTCAGGCCCATCACAGCCTTCATTTCCCACAGAAAGAGGAGTTCTGCTGACAGGGGCTGATGCACACAGCGGCCCAGCACCACCCTGGCACCCAGCTCCCTGGGCTGTGCCCTCGGGCCCCAGCAGTGCCCACACAATTTCCCGGCCAAACTGAAGATATCTGTGCACAGCAAGCCAAGGGAAGGCAGAGGAACATTCCCAAAGCGCTCCCTCGGCACGGAGAGAGCAGCGGCGCTCGGGCAGGTGTGGGACAGGCCCGGCCCGGCGGGCGCGCCCCCGAGAGCGCGGCGGGAGCGCGCACCCCGGGCAAGCCCCGGCCCGCCTGTGCCTGCTCCTTCTCGGGATGGAATGTCTGCCCATCCCTCCTCCTCCTCCTCCTCTGCAGGGTGCGTGTATGCCTCAGCACTCCCCCTCCGCCCCCATGCTCTGTTAGGCTCATTCGCCTTGCTCTTTTAACCCACCGCTTATGAATCTTCATTATCCCTGAAGCCTGTTCTTTAGGTGGAAATATTTCAGGGAAGTGCACGTTTCACCGAGCATTTTACACTTTTTTATTGCCGTCCTGTAACATTTCTGCTTCTTTTGCGCTCCTCGTTGGTAACCCCCTGTGCCAAAGTACCCTCTTGTGGTGATAATGATTTTTGATGACTACGTGCATCCAGCTGACCAGCCTGGGTATATAAAATGCCCTTCATTGTGCTTGGCAAGGACAAGAACTTCTCTCTCTTTAAAGAGTGATGATTTTGCTAGTGGGAGCAAGAAATACCTTTCTTCTTCTATCACCTGCGTTTTTCTTCACCCTTCCTCACCTCCTGTAACTTAGAGAAAACTGGCAAGGAAGCTGGGATTTCCCACCATGGTTTCAGAAAGCGAGTGTAAAACAAATGTTCCATTTGCACTACAGGTGCAAAATCCTCACACGTGCATTTCCTGGACATGTACTATAAAAGTCCCCCTGAGAACTGAATGAATGACACCCACACAGAAAACCCAGATAACTTGTATTGCCTCTTAACATATTGCCCATCCAAAACCCCCCCATATTATGAGCAAGTTTAGGAAGTAAACTAGCTTTTTTAACTGGGACAGATCTTTGAATGATACAGCCAGTTGTTCTTCCTCCCACAAGGCTCTTGTAAGTGTACATTGTGGCTGTAAAACTATGAAAAACAAGAATCAAAAACATTTTGCCACTGTGCTTTATAACTGTGAGAATGAAAATAAAAGCTCCTTTTGTCTCCTCAGGTGAATAGAAGTCTTGAAAAAACCCCTAATTTGAATAATCTTAGAAAAAAAATCCCTGGAAAACCCATCTCAAAGTACTTTTGTGAAGCTGCAAGACAGCTTGAAACTACTACGTTTTAAAACAATCAGAAGATTAAAGCACTGGCAGGCAAGGAACTCACGCAGAGCTGTTTAATAAATTATCCCTGGGCTGAATTATTGGCATATTTAGGCTTATAACACAGCAAGTTCTTTCGCATGTCACAAGCAGGGCTGCGAGACAGCCTACACAATGCCCTCAGACCATGGCAAACTGGAATTGATTTACACAGCTCGCAAACCGCTTCCATGCTCCCTGCGAGTCCGAAACGCACCATGACTTGCCTGGCATCCCTTCCCTGCCCACCGGGGGAATCGGAAAGCAGGGATGCCTCCCCCAGGGAGCTGGGGGGGGGGGGGGGGGGGGCGGAAGAATTTCCCCCCCCCCCCCCCCGGAAACTTACAATTATAAGAAGAAAATAAAGAGCGGGGAAAGCAGCGGATTCGGCAGGGGTCGGGAGCGGAGGTGGCCGGAGCCGGCGGGCAGTGAGTGGCTCCTTACCTGCCTCATGGTGAGATTCCCATCATCCATCCAGCCGGCCAGGGCTGCTCACTCCGCGCTGCTGTCGGCAGGGCACAAATCCATCAAGTTTCCCACCGCAAGCAAGTTTCCCTCCCTCCTCTTTCCTGTCTATTATTTCCCCCCAACACTTTTTATTCCTGGCTAGGGGGGAGCCCTGAGACAATGTCAAGTTTCCCAACCTTCCTTGCCCAGCCTATGAAAAGTCGGCGGCGGGGAGGAACTGTCCGGCCGGCTCTGGTTTCAAACGCAGCCCAGGGATGGAGCAGTTGGCTGTGCAATGGCCTCGCCAATCACGGGGAAGGGGAGGGCGGCAGAGCACATAAAGGCTGCTGCCTACACGCGGATTAGGAAAGCTTTCAAGGATTTAAAAGACTGAAAGCAGCTGGAAACAGTGACTAGGGCTACAAAGAGGGAAGTCAATTTGCGGTGTAAGAGATTATTCCCATTCTCATGTAACTGCTCCGAGTCTGCTCGAAGCTTAGCAGGCTCCCAGGCAAGGATATGTAAATCTGAAATTACTGCAGCATCAGAGCGATGCGGGAACGCTCGACAGCCGCCCGGTAAAGTGGCGATATCCCGTCTCCAGAAGCACCGATTTACTCATGTCAGATTAAAGGGAAAATTACATCATGACAAGAGCAGGAAGTCAAATTCCGTTTGCCATTTACATTAAGGGCAAGTTCCTGTCTGTTGAAAGGAACTAAAATATATGTGTGGGTCCGGAGGCTATGGAAATGTTTTGTTGCAAAGTTTTATTTGTTTCAGTGGCGAACGTTTAATCATCCCTAGCCTCAGTCTATTGTCTGCTTTCCCTTCTTTAGGGAGGGTGGTTTCCTCATTCCTGAAGCTGAGTTTTTTCATGCAAGATAACACTGGACTCGAAATTAAACTTCAAAGAAAAAAAAATAATGTGTTTTTTTGTTTAGTTTTTTATCGAGATCAGCTGCTATCTGCTGCCCCTCGGTGGCTTTCATTAAAATCAACAAAGAAAAGACAAAATCAAAAATCTCAACTCTGAAGTGCCATTGCTGTTTGAGTTACATCTTTCATAGAATTTTAGAATTGTTTATGTTGGAAGGGACCTTTAAGAAAATTTAGTTCCAAATTTCTTGAGTTAAAAAAACCCACAAAACCAAACAACAACAACAACAACAAACCAAACAAACAAAGAAAAAAACCCCACAAACCCCCAAAAACCCAGAGAAGTGCAAGCCTGCAAATTGATACCAGCCAATCTTCTCCAAAGTGGAGAAGGCTTCTAACTTCTCTAACTTACTATCAGTTCAGAAGCCTGTTAGCCATTCTGTTCCGCTCTTAATGGAAATCTGTCTTTTGATCTTAGGGAACAATCAGGCAAATCTGATGCCTGAAGTAAAGTCCCAATATCATGAATTTGCTTCATGGTAGGCTTTATCTACCAATGAAAAAATTAGCCACTATCCATAAAAACCCTTGGCAGTTCAAGTAATCTTATTGAGTTACAAAAAAAAGTTACTATGACATGTTTCTAGGACTTTAATTAAAAGCTTCCAAAAATAGATTTCCTTTTAATTTATGATAAGCTCCAGCAGTGAGTATGTCACAGAAAAAGAAAGAAAATATCTGAAATATGTACTTATTTGTTTTTCCATTTAAAGACAATAATGGTTTTTCTCACAAATGCAACAAAGAAAGGAGCTTGCATAATATTGGCACTGTCTGGATCAGAAGCATGGCATGGATGGAGAGAAAACTTGACTGAAACTACTACTGGAATTTATCCAGGTCCAACTTTACTCTTGCCTGGTCTGTGTCCTCAGAAGGAAGGATCCAATTATATGTTTTAATGTACAACACCGACCATCCCCAGGGATCAATATAACAGCTGCATCACGGTAAGACAAACCATTCTTTCTAGCCAATGTGGAGATGAGTGAGTGATGCCTCAGTGATGCTCTAACGCTGCCCACTTGCTCAACAGCTTGAAGCAGCTGCAATGCAGAGAGGGAGGTGCATTAAGAGCACTTAGCAGGAATGCTTGTCCTCTGTTCCCCAAGCATAGCTTGGGGACACGTGTCACTTAAAATGAGTATGTGGCATGTGAGGACCTTTTACTGCTTTAAATCTGGGAAAATCCTCTCCAGGATGTACTCAAAGGAAATATAAATTTACTTTTTCAAAGTAATTAGAACATTAGGGGTAAACTACCCTGGTGAAGAGGATGTAGTAAAAAGTTCAAAACTTACAAAATTAGTAAGGATTATAAATGATTTACACAAAACCCCTATATTTGATTTCAGGGTTTTAAGAAGGGGATTATTAGGACAGTTTCAGATTTTCACATGGGAACAGAGCAAAAGTTTCTGTAAAAAACTCAAAGTTCTGTAAGAACTCAAATGTTATAAAGACAAAACAATTGGATACCTTTTCTGTAAATGCAGATGCCTTTTCTCATACAACATGCACAACTTACAGTACTGCATTTTACTTAAAACACAGCAGAACATGGCATCAAAAATGAGTGTATTGTATAGGATGAAAACTGATTTCTAGTATTAGGGAAAAAGCAAAACCTTTAAAATCAATTACCTATGTTCAGGGTGGGGTGTGGACTATTTTTTTAAGATCCAGAGTCACAGAGCTCCTATTCTACTTATGCCATTCACTCTCCACCTTTGAGGAATGTACTTTGTGATTGACCCACAGTCAGTTGCTGGAGTTTTTTGGTGTAGTACAGTTTTTGTAGTCCAGAGCAAGATGAGTCTGCACCAGCTGCAGGGGGTGCAGTGGTATTATCACACACAGTGGATTCAGAAAACTGGGTCCTGCACTTCACTTCTGAGAGTATTCTGAGTGGCACAAGAGGAAAAGAGAGGATCTATAGCTGAGGTGGTTTGAGGGTAGTCAGCATCCAAAGACACAGATAAACAGCTGGATATGAGGAAAAGGAATTGCTGCCTGGGATGCAAGAAGACAGGTGCTGGTTTTTACACCTTCCTCTGAAAATCAGATTTCCTATCTATAACCCAAGTGTATGTGCGTGCCTGAGAAAGGCTTGTGATGTTTGGGGAAATGAAAGGAGATTCTGTCCCTGACAGAGGACACCTTTACAGTCTGTTCAGTGGAACCAGGGGGGGTAAGAGCAGCCAGAGGAGCTGATGCCAGGTGTAAGTTCAGACATGACTGGAAGCAAAGACCTGTATAAGCCAGACCAAAGCCATGGTAGGGACTGCAGTAGTTTTAAAGGATTCTTACTGAATTAATCCAAGTTAAAAGTAAAATGGCTACAAGCACACCAAGCCATTGGCAGTTTTACATTATGTGAACACTGGTTATCAGCAGTAATGGTCACATATCCCTCTTATCAAACCCCTTGGAATTATGAGTGACACACAAATATCAAAGTGGCTCTGACCTTGCTGCTCACTGTGGATGCCTGCCACAGTCCTTATCGCACACCAAGCACTCCCAGACACAAAGGGCAGGCACACAAGCCCTCCATCCAGCCTCATGTCTCAAGCATTATGTTGCCCCTTTCACTAAAGTAAAATCAAGGCAGGATAACTTTGGCTGGGCTTCCATTATTGGCAGCATTGATCAGGAAGATCTTCAGCATGGTTCGTGCTCTTGACTTGGTAAAAGTAGTCAGCAGGCACTTGTGAGAACTCAGGCTCTTGGGTTCTAACTAAAACTCCTGCCTCCTTTGGCTACTTAAGACAAAGATATAATGTTAGAATGTATAGTGAACCAGTCTATGTAGTCAAAAATCTCTGAGAGTTCCTATAAATGTGCAGAAAACAGCACCACTGTAATACCAGTTACAAATTTTACATTATGTAAAAATATCACACATTTTTTACAAAGACATAGTAAATTAGGTGTTGAGTACTCTTTGTCAGCACATCAACTATTTCTTAAAATGTTCATCTAAATTTAGTGGGAAGAGGCTTAGTTCAGTGCTTATCAATGCAGTGTACAGTTTTGAAGGTTTTAAGTTGTGACAAGGCAAAGACAAAAATCTTGATACCAAAAATTTATCACTGTTTCAGAATCTGAAACTTTTGCTCACTGCTTTTTTAACTAAACCTTCCTTATCTACTGTCATTGTTTCTAATAATTTACCAAACAGAGGAATTATTTTGAACTTGGATCAAATGCGAAACAGCCCAATGTGGACTCACTCAGTTGCTGGAGTTTTTTTGGTGTAATACAGTTTACGTAGTCCAGACCAAGATAAGTCTGCATCAGCTGCAGGGGGAGCGCAGAACAGGAAGTGGCAAAAATTACTTTCTCTCATTAGCTGAATTCCAGCTGCCATGGAAATCCTCTTGGGCCCAGAGAATTTAATATACGCTAAAGACAGAGAACCACTCCATTTCTTTACTGTGCTGTGCCAAACAAAGACAGAACAGACCCCAGGATCTGATTATATGGTAGGAGTGAAAGAGTTGCAGCAGATAAATATATGACCCAGCATATAGGTTAAAAAGAAACAACCTAGTTTAAAATGAGCATCTTCAGGTATGAAGTCAATCACAAATATATTGCCTTTAATCTGCAATATAGACAACTAATAAAAACATGTTTTTCAAAATAAGACAAGCAGCTAGACTGCTGCACTTTGAGAGAAAAATGTAATATTCACACCCAAACTATTGGCATTGAAATTAATTTCTAATTGTTTTTATAGTCCCTCCCTTGGTAGTTTTAAATTGGCACCTGCAGGAACAGCAGGATGTCCAGAATACAAAATACTTCTTAATAACCCCATATAACAGTAGAATACTTAACTCAAGACAACACTGGCATTTAAAAATAACCTCTAGAAGAACTGGCACAAAATACAAGGTTGTAAAATGAAGAAAAATTTATGAGAAGGCTGTATTAAAAAAGAAGGAGGAAAAATGCTGAAATACTCCAAATAGGAAGAATCTGTTCTCAAGATGTGAATATTATCAGGCAATGATTTCAAATGATAAAGTTAACATTTGTGAATGTAAGACTGTTCAGGGCTTGGATCTCACCAAGATCCAAGCTTTTATAAACATTGCTGCAGTGAATGCAGTGAAGACAAACTGAGTCTGCTGGCAGAATGTCTGAATCA